AGGAATAAAAAGAAGAGAGAGGAAGGGACAGAAAGGAAGATGAGTTACCCACACCCATACTATTTCTTCATGGTAGATTTTTGATACAGAATGTGCATATAATGTTAACAGTCATGTCTATGAGCAGCGGAACTTGTGAAGCCTGCTTGTTTTTCCTGCCTGTCCACATGGATTCTCTGGTGTCTAATACAGCAGAGCTCCTTTGCCAGTTTTCCCTTCATGGAGGCACAAAGTTTTGTCTCTCCATGTTCAGTGAACTGTTTTCTTAAAATATATAAGAATTTTAATGAATTTGAAACTTGTTCTGTCAACTGGTTGAAATTAGCCAACAAGTTCAAGTTACTGACAGAAGAAACAATGGACAGACACTGTAATTACATCAGGGTAATTTCCTCATGAAACCAGGCTAGGAATATTCTAGATTTATTTAGTAGTGTGTTCGTAAGTGCTGTGCAGTAAGAATCCTTGGTGAGCTGCTACTGCAGGAGTGAAAGCTAACAGACAGGGTACAGGTCTGATCCAGCCTACAGGGTGGTTACTTCAATTTATCTACCAACACTCCAGTGAAAGCACAGGCCACTGGGCCTGCAAAATTCTGCTGTCTTCCCTGTATCAAACAAAGAAACTGTTATTATGTGACTTAGAATTATAAATGTATCCTGAAATTGGCATCTAGCCCACAGGACGGTCCTGCTTTTTCAATGCTAGGTGATAGAATCCAAACCCAAGTGTTTTGAGAGAGTAGTTCTTTGTGCTTTATCCACAGGGCATTCAGGTTAGATTACAGGGAAGCTGAAATCCTGGTAACTTTTATGGGTGCATTCAATATGTGAGGGGCTTGTTCAAGTCTGTTTCCTTGCAGGATGAGGGCATAAGTCTACAGTTGTGAGGAAACCTGCTTTTTGAGCTTTAATTTCTGTTAACTTGCTCCCCAGTAACTTTTTTAGATACTTCTTTTATTAATAAAAGACTTTAAACTTTTGTTCTTTTTTCTTTTTAGGTTCAATGGATAACACAGTTCGTCTGTGGGATGCTGTGAAAGCGTTTGAAGATTTAGAAACCGATGACTTTACTACAGCCACTGGACATATAAACTTGCCTGAAAACTCACAGGACTTGTTACTAGGTACATACATGACCAAATCAACCCCGGTTGTACACCTCCATTTTACACGCAGAAACTTGCTGCTGGCTGCGGGAGCTTACAGTTCACAGTAGATCTGGAAGCTGTGAGACTGACTGTGCCACGTCAGTGCAGTAGTGACCTCAGGATGTGAGACGAGGAGGAATGTCTTGTACAGGTGGACCCCACTAACCTGTTGCAGGAAAAATGAAACTATGTAAACTAATGCAAGCAGCATTTCTCAGTTCTGCTATTTCGTACTGATCCACAGTTTGAAAATGCTGGAGACTGACAAGACATCATGGCTGTGAAAAAAGGAATTGTTCATGGTGCTTTTGATAAAATATATATATATATATGTATATGAAAATGGCTGTCTCCTCTCAGAGATGGTATTGAGCTCTGTTAAAACTTGTGGGAAGTTAACAGCCTTGGTATGTGTTCTCAAATGATTTTTTTAAAGCACTTAATTTATGGTTAGCAAACATTTAATCAGTCTCAAACATAAGCAAAAACTGTTCAGCTTCAGAAAAGAAGAATGTAGTTCAATTCACTGTAGCCTGGGCTGGGCAACAGGTATGGTGAGTATCACAGCACCGAACAGGGCATTGAAAGAGTAGGTCCTGCAGGCAGAGGCCTGTGGGGAACTGCCGCGAAGTTCCATGTGTGGGTTTTATGCATCCAAGTACTAAGTCCTGAAAAGATTTCAAACTCCTGTGCTCTTTTGAGGTATCGGAAATGCAGATCTTGTTATTCTGTTTTCACAGGTAGCCAACGCTGTAAGTGTGATAAGCAACCAGAAGTGCAATGTGAACTTTATTTACTTTCATACTTTATTGTGTGGAAAAAAAGGGGGGGGGG